AGGCAGATTTATACAGAGATATATCGGACAAAGGTCTTCCATCTGCTGGTTCACTCCCCAAATGGCAACAAAGGCCAGAGTTGGGCTGATCTGAAGCTAGAAGCCAGGAGCTTCTTTCTGGCACCCATGTGGGCACAGACACCCAAGGCATCTCTCTTGCTTTCCCAGGACATTAACAGAGAGCTGAATTGGAACCTGAGCATCCATTACTAGAACCTATGCTTATGTGAGATGCTAGCACATTCAGGCAAAGGATTAACTTGCTATGTCCCCATGCTGGCTCCTTCTTTTAAACTTTTCTTGGGAGATATTTTAACAATGTGTTCATTATATGATCTGATTTGTTATTGAAGAGATGGTGATGATTAAATTATTGTTGATGTTTTTGACCTCATGACCTTTTGAGGAATCAAGCAAAGCCATCATGATGGAAACTCATTTACCTAGATGGAAAAGGACTTGCTTTATAGTTGAGTGATTTATGTATAACATACCTTTTAAAAGTTACCCTTAAGCGCAGTGTAAGTGTATTGGGATGGAAACCACCATTTTTCCAGTGTCTTGTGAAAATCAGTAATTTCATTATGTCCCCAACTAGGAGGAAGTTTAGCAGGTTGGTTGGAAATGCATCTTGTGAAGTGCTGGCTTTGCCCTGATAAGCTTGGTGAACTTGGACGTGTTATCCCACCTGTTCTAATCTTGCTTCGCATGTATCCTGTGAGGAGGCAGTGTCCTCCTCTGCAGAGATGTGCTTGTGTAATTGTTGTCATGTCCACCTATGAGGCAAACTGCAGAGTTTGAACCTGAACACTGACACTGTTCAAGAATTCCCCTGCTTATTTCTTGGCCTTTCCTGCCAAGGCTGTCATTGCCTGCCTACCCAGTTTGTAATTCTGAACTAGGTTGGTTGGTTTCATGTTGGCTGAGGGGGTGGGGGTTAATGGTCGGAACTGGTGGAGAAGGTACTGTATAATATTCTTTGAAGAATACTCCTTTGGAAGGCAAGTTCTTGTCTGTGTGGACTGTGCAGGTGACCCCTGAACTTATTTGATATGTATAGCATGTTTTTTGGGGTGCAGTGGGAATACATCACGTTGTGTTTAGCATTGAAACCTTAGCTGGAAATTTGGAGCAGCAGAAATGTCCTCATTTTACTGTTCTGGAAAATAATTTAGAAATTATTGGCTCAACAGTATGATGAACGAGTAAGTATTACCGCTTCCAGGGCATTTATAATTTGTCAGCTGCCATACTTGATAATTTTCTGCCTGCATAGTGACAACAAATACGAAGTACCCAATAAATGCTTAATGAATTGACTCATGGATATTGGTCCCTATGGAAGATAAGGACGACCAGAAGAAATGAGGTTTCCAAACTGTAGCATTCTTTACCAGTTCAGTTAAATGTTTGGTCATCGAAGTGGGGTGAAACAAAACTATGGTTAGCTGTCAAACTAGTTTGGTTGGTGGAAGTAGATACAAATTGGAACTGGATTGACAGGCACTGGTTGGAAATTACAGTGCTTCATCAGAATACACACACATAGACATATACTCAGAGTTCAGATTCTGAGTACAATGTATATGTATGTACAAATTGGTAGGTTCTTTTTTAAAAAAGATTTCTTTTTATTGGAAAATCAGATATACAGAGGGGAGGAGAGACAGAAGGAAGATCTGTTCGTTGATTCACTCCCCAAGTGACCACAACGGCCGGTGCTGCGCTGGTCCAAAGCCCAAGCCAGGAACTTCCTCCAGGTCTCCCATGCAGGTGCAGGGTCCTAAGGCTTTGGGCCGGCCTCGACACTGCTTTGCCAGGCCACAAGCAGGGAGCTGGATGGGAAGCAGAGCTGCTGGGACCAGAACCGGTGCCCACATGGGATCCCAGCATGCCCAAGGTGAGGACTTTAGCTGCTAGGCCACCGCACCGGGCCAAAATTGGTAGGTTTTTATGTTTATATGATAGAAATGTGTATGAACTCCCCTGTGTGCATACATATTTATAGTTCTAATAGAACATTCCCGAGAGATGACATATATTTAAAAATATATTAAAATGTATCATTTATAACACAGTAGTTCTTCATGTGAGTATAAAGGAAATTCTGCCTCCGGAGTCTGTGGAATCTTTTAAAATAACTTTGAAGCTTTTAAAAATACTATGTGATCGTTCTGAAAGTATTGGAAAAGCACTGGGAAGTACAAAGAAAAGGACCCTGCATCTAATCCTAATAGAAAATCATTGTAGACCAGAATGAAAAGCAGCAGATTGCTGTCTGTTTATAGATAAATTGTTTCCAAGTGTGATAAAAGCTGATCTTTTAGTGGTGGTACTTCCTTTGATCTTATTTTTCTGTTAGGAACTAATAAGAATTCCTTCCATGGACAGATTTTGTATGTAGGAAGATGTACCAAGATTGTGTGCAATATAGTTGGAAATAGGCTAAATATAACTCTGTAAACTTTATTTGTAGACTACAGCTCTCTGTAATATTTTGAGCTTTAGTTAGTTAATTTCTTTAAGACACACACATAAGAAGAAATAGGGTAAATAAAAAAAAGTTATTTTAACACTTAAATCTGTTTTTAGATCCAGCCCTGCAGTGGCTTGTGTCAGTTAATTTAACATGGACCTCGATATTTTATTTTGCAAATGGGGCAGTGTCTGCTTGTGGGGTCAAATGCAAGGGCGAATATAAATGCTTTTGGCCTATTTTTCTGGGTATACTTTAAGCAAGGTAGGCATTTGTAACAGAGTCCTAATTTGCTAGAAAGCTTGGAGTTTAAAGCCAGAGAATTAAGAAGTTGAATAGAGTTCTGCTTTATGTGTTGTTGGATATTGTCTCTATGAAAGTGCACTCTTGGGGTCCAGCACAATGGCTCAGCAGTGGGATCCCCTATGGCAAGCGCTGGGATCCCATATAGGCACCAGTTCATGTCCCGGCTGCTCCAATTCACATATAACTCCCTGCTAATGGCATGGGAAAGCAGCGCAGGATGGCCTGAGGTCTTGGAACCCTGCATCCACATGGAACACCTGTAAGAAGTTCCTGGCTCCTGGCTTTGGATCAGCTCAGCTCTAGCCATTGTGGCCATTTAGGGAGCTAACCAGTGGATGGAAGCTCTTTCTCTGTTTCTAATCTGATCCGCCTTTCCAATAAAAATAAATTAATTAGAAAAAAAATATGGACAATATAAGTTACATGCAGTTTCTCTAAAAATGTAAGCAGAAATAGAGAAATATTTAGAGACTAATTTCATTCATGCTAATTAAAACCTCTAAATGGAAACTTTAGAAAAAAAGTGTCCTCTTGCCTTTTCTTTCTTTATGGGGCCTCTTTTCAGACCACTGGCTTTGCAGATTGAATATTTTACTGTTAAATTTTTAAAGATTTATTTATTTTTATTTGAAAGGCAAGTTTTTACAGGGAGAGAAGGAGAAACAGAGAGGTCTTCCATCCGCTGGTTCACTCCCCAAAGTATACAATGGCCAGAGCTGACCTGATCTGAAGTTAGGAACCAGGAGCTTCTTCCTGGTTCCCCAGCTGGAGATCCTGACCCAGTACCGCAGGGCACCCTACACTGCTTCTCACACCATAAGCAGGGAGCTGGATGGGAATTGGAACAGCTGGGGCATGAACTGGCACCCGTATGGGATGCTGGTGCTTGCAGGTGGGATATTAGCTTGCTACGACACTATACTGGCCCATATTTAATATAACTATTGGGGAAAAGTTGTGGTTGCTATAATGTTATTAATAGAAAATACTATCAGTGGAAATTACAAGAAAGTATTAAAGTAAGGCATCCAATTGAAAAGGCTACTTTTGGGGGCTGGTGCCATGACATCACAGGCTAAGCCTCCGCCTGTTATGCTGATATTCCCTATGGCTACAGGTTCATGTTTGGCTGTTCCACTTCTGGCCCAGCTCTCTGCTCGCACCTTGGAAAAGCAGCAGAGGTTGACTCAAGTCCCTGGGCCCCTACATGCACATCGGAGATTCGGAGGGAGGATCTGGCTCCTGGCTGCAGCTTGGCTCAGCTCTCTGTGTCTCCCTAACTCTGCCTTTCAAATAAAAAGTAGATCTTTTAGAAAGATGAAGCATATCTTCCCAGAGAACTGAGCCATTTCTTGAGAAAAGACAAAGGTTCCTTATATTGAAGAACAATTTATCATAGATATTTACATGGGAAATCAGCCAATAATTTTATAATTAATAGAAAACAGGAGAAGAAAATGGAGCCTTTTGTATGCAAGTTTGGCTTTACCAGATGTTGAGTTTTATTATTATTGTTATTTCTTGCAACGGGGACTAGATAAAGATGATGACTGGTGAGATCCACTATGTGTTTTTTTAGAGCAGTACAGCAAAGGTTTACTGGAAGTGACAGGAGTAAGTCCATGTTTAGGCTAACACAGCACAGTTAATGTTCTTGTCTATGCACGTATATCAGAGGCTGCACATATTGTGTAAGAATAATTACCAAATGTTCCGGGGGCGGTGAGTCTATTTCTTCAACATGAGAATTGATGAGGTTGTTAAATTAGGTTTTGTTGGAGTCATAACAGTTTATTTCACTAAGCTATTTATTGGATAAATATTGTCACTGATTTTCATCAACTTCAAAGAGGTATTATTTATTCAAGGAGAAGTGTTAGGAGTTTATTGCAGGACATATTCATTTTTTTTTCCCCTTTCTGCAGTGTTTTCTTCCCTGTTGATTCAGATGAAGTCAAGATTTTTAAATGTCAGTGGATCTGATAAAGTGCATGCATTGAAACATGGGTTTTACTGGAAAGCCAGCTTTGGGGCTGGGGTCTTCAGGAGCCAGGGTGCCACATGTTTTGGAGCACAACAGAAGAGCTTCAGTGTTTACGTGTGCCATATGTGAGCAGGGGGGCTATCTGCTTTGTTAGAGAAACTGAAGCCATGAACTCTTAAGTTTATTTTTATTGATTGTAGTATGTGGTGTTTTTGTTTTAATTTGTCATTTAAAAAATATATAGAACGCTTCACAAATTTGTGTGTCATCCTTGCTCAGGGGCCATGCTAATCTTTGTTGTATCGTTCCAATTTTATTATATGTGCTGCTGAAGCGAGCACTGCTTGTCATTATTATATAGAACCTATAGTCCTTCATAGCTGTTGTATGAGATTGAAAGTCACAGAGTCATGCCAAACAATGGTTTATATGGACAAACTGCGCCTGTTTATTTGAGGCTCGAAAGAAACTTCACTCACTATAAATTTGTATTTGAATTTCACATATTATATATAAGTCTATATATTACATATGTATATATATATATATATATATATATATATATATATATATATTGCTTGTGCAGGTGACTTATTACAACTATTTTGCCTTCACATTCTGTTAACATCTGTAGGTTTCTTTACTAAGCAACAAAAGAATTCACATCACTCAAATCAAGACATAAGAGAGCTACTCTAGGTGAGAGGAAAGCAGTGGGTAACGTACTACCTTCAACCTACTGTGTTTGGCAGGGTATTTTATATTTCTTTAGAAGGGAGAGAGAGACAGAGAATAAAAGAGAGAGAGAGAGAGAGAGAGAGAGAGAGGCTGGGGATTTTATCTGCTGGAACCCCACCCCCCCCAAATTGTTGCAAGTAGCTTGGGGCTGGGTCAGGCCAAAACCAGGAACCAGTAATTCTACTCAAGTCTCCTACCTAGGTAGCAGGGATCAAAGTCTTTCAGCCATCACCTGCTGCCTCTGGGGTGCATATGGCCAGGAAGCTGGGATTGAATGAAGTGCCTCACACATTACAGGTGCTCTGGCCTGGGATGTGGGCTTGTGAAGCAGTTAACTGACAGAAACCCCCAACGAAGCATATACTTTTGAGGCTATAAAGTTTCTTAGGAATGTGTTTCTTTTTTTTTCAGCTAATGTGCACATGCTGTTTAGAAATAGATTTTAATAAAGACCAACATGAGGAAGCAATGCAGTATAGCAGAAAATTGAGAGCTGATTTTCCTGGATTTGAGTATGAAGATGGATTGCCACTGATAATGTGGTCTTGGGTGAGCTCCTTGGCTCTGTCTGCTTTGTTCTCCTTAGAAAGGGGGACACCACTAGCTCAGCAGGAAGTCGGGAAGAGTAAATGAAATTCTAGGCATATAGGGCCCAACTCATCATTTGGCTTATCACAGCTACTTCAAAATGTATTTATTGGACAGAGAGGTAGTGAGAGATGGAGAGAGAAAAAGAGCTCCCACCTGCTTGTTCCTGTCTTTTGTTTGTTTGTTTTTAAAGATTTAATTATTTTTATTGGGAAGGCAAATTTACAGAGAAAAGGAGAGACAGAGAGGAAGATCCTCCATCCACTGGTTCACTCCCCAAGTGGCCACAACGACCATAGTTGATTCAAAGCCAGGAGTCAGGCGCCTCCTCTGGGTCTCCCACACAGGTACAGGGTCCCAAGGCCCCAGACCATCCTTAACCGCTTTCCCAGGCCACAAGCAGGGAGCTGGAAGGGAATTGGAGCACCCGGGGCATGAACTGATGCCTGTATGGGATCCCAAAACATGCAAGGCAAGGGCTTTAGCCACTAAGCTAACGTGCCAGGCCCTTGTTCACTTGTAGGTTGTATGGGAGGACTGGGACTGTGTTAGGATCTCAATCCAGAGTCCCCATGTGTGTAACAGGAATCCAGTTATCTGAAGCCATCACCACTGTCTTCCAGAGTCTGCTCTAGAAGGAAACTGAAGTCAGCAACTGGAATTGGGTATTAAAATTAGCTGTTCTAATATGGGACCTCTGTGTCTTAACCAGCAACTTAAGAGCTAGGCCAGATGTTCACCTTCGATAACTAGTTGTTTAGTGCAGGTCTTTCATAATTTGCTTTTCTTTCTGTAGATGTTTGGCCATTGAATTCATCATATTGAGTCCATTGAACTGTTCTTGCATCTCATTATATTTCTAGCAATGATGCATACAGATTTTCTTTTTGAGAATTGTAAACTTCCATAAAATGTCATGGAAAAGTAATCTCTATGGTTTTGCTCATTCATTCTTTCAGCGTCTGTCAATACTATTATATACCAGCTTCCTGAGTTCTAAATGCTTGTGTCAAATCGAGATAAAAGATAGGGTGGGAATTCCTACAGAATTTTAAATTCCAGAGAAGGAGCATTGCTTGTTTGAATCAGGTCAGCCCTTAACCCTTTGAGAGGTATGCTAGTGCTTTTGCTTTTGCTCTTTAGTGATGTCTCATTTCTGATATTTAATCTGAATGCCCCTGAATATTTGCTTAGCTTATTTGAGGACTTTTGGTTTTAAAGATTACCCTTTTAAAAGATGTATTCATGGATTTATTTGGAATATAGAGTTACAGAGAGAAGGAGGAACAGAGACCAGGAGAGTTGTCCTACCTGCTGGTTTACTTCCCTAATGTCCAGTATGGTTAGGACTGGGGTCATGCTGAAGCCAGGAGCCAGGAGCCAGGAGCTTCTTCTGAGTCTCCCACATTGGTGGCAGAGGCCCAACTGCTTAAACCATCTTCCATTGCTTTCTCAGTGTGTCAGGAGAAAGCTGGGTCAGAAGTGTCACACTTGGGACACAGACCTGTGCCCATTTGCGATGCTGGCCTTGCAGGCAGGAGCTTGACGTGCTGTGCCTCAACACCAGCTGCTTGGAGGGTATCCTCAATCTCTGTCTCTTTGGTTTATTAGAATAGCATTGAACTCCCTCTCTCTCACTTTTGTTCATTGCTTTTCCTTTCTGTTCTTAAAATGAGCATGTCGTGATCCGCAGCCGGCTCAGTGGATATTGCGGGTTGGTGGTTCTGATGACTTTCCTAACGAATGTTCTCCCATATGCTTGTTGACCTTCCAGTACGAGATAGTCCCTTGGTGACAAGTGAAAGTCTCTGATGACATCAGAGTTGATGACGCACCTATGGTACTGGATGGTTGTGTGGTACAGCACAGTTGAAAAGAGGAGCAAGTTCTGAGAATGGAGAAAAGGAGAGGATAACTTCTCTCTGCTGTTTGTCACAATATTTTTGCCTGTGAGTGATAGGAAATGAGTTTCAACTCATAGGAGTTTGTTGCGTGTAACTGAAATGCATGCTTAGAGATCCCAGCCTTTTGGGTTGATGCATTCATGAGCAATGCCGACAGACAGCCAGCTTCTTCTGGTTTTGTTTGTTATTTTGTTGGCTGACGTGTGTCCTTGTGATTCTGCGTCTCCCGGGGAAGATGGACATTAACGTGTTGGTTTCATGAGAACAACTTTCTCAGAACCTCTCTTGAAGTACAGTGCTCAAAATTGAGTCCTGTGTCTCCTCTTTGCAGCGAGATAGTCTGGGAAGCAATTCATTTTAGCCTGATGTCTGACCTCTCCAAGGCAAGTGAGGTTATGAATATGAGATAAACAAATAGCCATAATTGCCATAATTGGGTCTTTTAACTTTGAGACCTCTAATGGGCTTAGTGTTAGGTTTTCTGGTTTGAAAAGTATAGCTAACTCATTCATTCATTTGACAAATGTTTATTAAAGCCATAAAGTCCAATGAAATAGATTCCCAATGTAATAAAAATCAGGCCTCAAATTGTAGTACATGAATTAAAACTTTCTGAGTTTGGATGTAAGCTAACGGTGTTTTCTCTCAGCTTCTCCTAAAGCTGAGTTGCTCTGGGTTTCCCATAAGATTCCCTTTTCCATGTTTTATATGCTTATCCAGTAAATCAGACAAATTTCCTTTTCAGGGTTTGGCATTGTTTTTTATTGGAAAAGAAATAGATTGTTTTAGGCCAGGAAGAGAGAGAGAAATAGAGAGAGAGAGAGAGAGAGAGAGAGAGAGAGAGAGAGAGAGAGAGACAGAAACCATGAGCTACTTTCTTCCCTGGCTCCTGCCCTGCCCCTCCTCCCCTTCTTCCTTCTTGTATCTCAGTAATGAATCTTGGCCATATTCTATTCAGAAGCTTGTCCTTGCCCCTGCTTATTTTTGAAGCCACTTGCCATAGCTTTACACATGGTCTTTCCCGAGACTGTGTCATAAAGTCTTTTTGATTTTATGCCCAGGGTCAGGTTTCTAGAAGTGGTATCTGGAAGGATCAGTTTGTTAAATTCTGAGGCTGGTGAGACTGAATATACCCGGTGTGTGACTTTCCCTGCTTACTGTGAAAGCTGAGCTTCAGCCTCGCATGACCCCATTTGTCTTTTTCAGATGTTAGCCAAAATTAGCCGCACGATCCATGGAGTACTCACTTTTGGCCGTTTCCCAATGACAGATCACTCAACTAACTTCGGGAGGCTGCTGATCTGAGAGTTCCTTTCCTTGATTCCAAAGCCTGCAATGGAACAATTACCTTTCTTTCAAATATGCCTTTTTGGATTTCTTATTTGGAAAAACTATTGTTCATGAGATAGATCATATATACATTAATGATTGTTCATTTTTCCATATATATTAGTCAAAGTTATGTTTAATGCTTAATAATTTCTGATCAGCATGAGAGAATCATGTATCTCAAAATGGAGATACTTGAAATAGTAATAGTAAAAAAGCTTTATTATAAGTCCATACATATTTATTTTTTGGCTTTTGAAAAACTGAAAGCCATTACTGTGATGCTGATAAAACCTCACCAAGACGCTATTCGTGTTTTCTGGCATGATTTTCTGTTTTTAAAGCTTTTGCTCAAAACAGTTCCTACTTTTTCCTTTTATTCTGAAGGGTATTTGGAAAAAAGAAAGTTTATGATATTTGCAATCTGTATAGTTCTGTCTTTTACATTTTCACTAATAAAGTACCTTGGGTTTTAAACTGTGATGAAAAAGTGTAAATGAACATAAAGGTAAAGTGAGTATCACCATCAACCTTCCTGTGGTCGTGTTAAACTACTGTGAAGTCATGGCCACTTTAGTTTTATCCCGCACTCTTGCCCAGGAGTGAGTCCTTCCAAATCCCAGATGCTGTGTGGGGTCTGTTGCCAGGTTACAAGCCACAGGCGGGCGGGTAACCCCACTCGTGTGACTTTGCTATGGATGATCCTTGGCTCAATGTGTTTGTGAAGTTCTTTGTTTTTGTATAGATCACCAGCCTTACCTTTTTTTGGTAGAGCTTACCTG